AACGTCATTCAGATTTTCTCTAAATGGACTGTTAGAGTTATTAATGACATCGAATGATGGAATATATATGAGACTTTTCTCTATCTAACAAAACTTTAAACAGCATTACAATATTGTCAGAGTGGGTATCCGTTGAGATTGCAGTAATTTTAACCTTGGGATTCATGAGTATCATACTAAACGGCCTTCCGATGATTCCAGGTTTTTAAAGGTGGCCTAGCTCAGATTGATAAATGGATTCAAGCATTGTCGTATTCGCCATAGTAGTTTGATTTCACATCATCAGAGAGATACACTCCATGTTTAACGCTATGCAACTCATCCAGTGTATGTAAATCTATCAGAAGTGTGACAAAACAGGAATCACATAGAAGACTTATCCTCATCATAAAATATGAAGTTAGTTGAACAACACAATTGAGATGGTAAATGACTGGAGTGTTTATTCATAGTTGGAGCAACACCATATATGAATCGACAACCAGAACATTTGCTTTCACTTCATCTTCTTTTTACAAAAGTAGTAATAATTTGTAAAATGAGAATTTCACTCATCTTTGATGTTTGAGGGCAGGTGATTATCGGCCAAATAAACAAATTATTATTAGAAAGCGATGTTGTTTTATTCTAACGAAGACTGATATTACACCCACAATACAGAATAGAGAATACCATATTATTTGATTATTTGAGATGGAATGAGGTGATCAATGATAAACAAAGTATAATCATAACTGATTCTATAAACAAAAAAGAGGTCAACACAAATATGTTTGTTCATTAGACAAACACGTTGTTTACAATGAGATTGAAGAAGTAATCAATATTACTTGGAATATTTTATTGAATATGACATGAATGATAGAATTTGATGTTGTGTTGTATCCAATGTGATGAATGAGACAGAATTCTCAATCGTTTTGCAAATCTTATTCCTCAATGCATACGATATACAGGTTTGTGGTGCTTGTATAAATTAGTGATACCTTTGTACTTGAAGACTGTTTGATTTCTAATTCCGAATATATTACGTTTGTCTGTCCTCATCAATATAACTCAACCTTTATCAGGAAATATGGCTGGTGACTAGAAATGGAATCCATGATGCGCTTTTCTCCCTATTTCTCACTCGTCAGCTGGATATACCTGCATCCTAGAATTCATGTTCCCTCCGTGACTCGGACCCAGTATCGTTCGTTTCAAGCGGCATCGTGTTATTCACTTAGTTTGATTGATGTCTTGAATAATCGAAATCTACACAGACTGAACACTGTGATATTTTGCTATTCACTCATCATTTGAAAGTCTGGTTCATTCAACAATATGTTGAATGATACTTCGATTCCTGGAAACTTGTATCATTCAAAGAGTATTGATGTTATGCAGCTAATGTGATTTAGAATCTTATTTTTTTTTAATTTATTGTTATGGCTGAAATTGACATTGTTATTGTCATTACTGATTGATTTGTTTACTACTTATACAAATATCAGTAGCTTCAAACAGTGCGTCAAAACACGATAGTTCAACACATAGTCTAATGCATACGAATGCTCAGATTAACTCAACTATACTATTAAGATGTCGTGTTCATCTTCAGATTGAAAATGATCTTGGGGAAAATCATTCCGAATATTAAGTGGAGTAGTGAAGCATACAAGTCATAAGTTTCTTCATCATCATCAACCGCACCAGGAGCATTTTGGCAAGTTATCAATCCAATATTTATTGCCAGATAAGTTGAAAATCATTGTTGACTAGGTGAAAGATTGTTTTGGTTATGATCAGGATACATTGAGACAAACATTTGATGGAAGGTATACACTGGTTGAATCTGAAGACGAATGTTAGTTATTACTCACGGCCTTACCTTCACGCAACAAAATACCCTCTTACAATGTTGACTGGTTTGTTCAACTATTCATTGTACTCAATTTTACTGTCAGTTTATTTAGTTCGAGAATTGTTTCTACTTTCTTCAATATGATGAAATAATGTAAATCAGTGGGATTAAAGCAAACAACAAACTCTTAGTTGAACCCACAATGAAGTGTATTTAAACAAGTGGTGAATTCTGAGTTGAAATGTATATGTAACATTCACTATTTTGATTATCATGAAGCTGCCCTTCCATTTAATTGATTTGTAACGATCACATTACAATTCACTTGATAAGATGATATTCAACATTACAAACTGTGATCAAATGTTGAGATTATGAAGGGAAGATCTGTTACTCAGAAGGTTGATGTGGTATCTTTTGAACCGGTTCTTCAAAGCCAATCACTATTCATTTTCTCCTTATATACGTTCATTTTCAAATTACATTTTAAGTAGTGTTCGATTCAGTATTATCAATTCTGTATTAGATACATGATTCAGTCAGTTACCTTTTGTTTTTATTAAAACAAATTGAATGTACTTGTTATAATGTTTGGTTTTCCACGTTTACACGTATGGGACGTTTATTTACCTTAGACAAATATCTACACCAGATTCCTTCCCAGTGTCTATTATTCTACAGAACTTCAACACAACTCAGATCAAGAACATGTGATTAGCGTGATTAAAACGTAAATATATTTCCACACCAAAACTCGACACAATTCAACAACAAGGAACAATGAATAATAATAAATAATGATAAGGATATGGGAATATATAACTCAGCTGACACTTGTCACACTTTCTACATGGCTTACTAAGCAAACAATCAATGATTATCATTCTCACCCACACATCAATACTTTAAATAATATTCATTCTTGATGAGTTCAAATAACAAGTTCAAAACCTTACTTTACTAACTTCTAATTTGTTATGTTCGTCAACTTGAATGCTACTACTGATTCGTCTTACTCGGAACGAACGAAGAATCGAGGATTCAGAGACTCGATAGGCTATACTGATCCGTTGTCCCCGACTCAGCTAACTCGATCCAGAAGTCTTGGTAAGATGTAGAAAGTGTATTATACAGACAAACAGAAGATACCAGGTGCATCAAGCACACAAATCAAGCGTATTTATACAAAATATATATAATCGATATTGCCATGGAAGTTTTAAACATTTACTCGACGCCCGATTTCTGTCAAACTATTCGTTCTAATATTGACGAATATTCGTATAAATTTGATCGATAAGTTCGTCAATCGACTATCTGCGTGGATGGTAAGAAATGCACAAGCATGCATCTGCATACAAGCTGCACAAAGATGAAATTACAAAATATGAGTTTTGGGAATCTAACGTCGCCGACAATTTTGAATACCAAACTATCATAATTTTACGTTTGTATTGTGATATGTGCTACTGATATCGAGAGATATGAGTAGTATATATCATCAGTCGAAAGCGAAATACCTGATGGTAGAAATTAAGAATTACGAAGAAAAGGGAATGGGAATAGAGAATGATTGGTTGGGAAACGAAGGGACAATGATGTCTAAGACAATTAATTGGTTTTACGCAAATGAAGTATTTACTATATGGGTCTCAGATACTACTACTAAGGCGTTCTGTAATTGTGTATTCAAATACATTTGATTGTCCCACTTGTGTTCTCATTCACTACAGTATTATTAAAAATTTTTATCAATTACTTTCTTCATTAGAAATAGATGCATTTTGTACTTTGGTTCAATTGTCGACTAACCTTTACTCTTGTTTTATTTATTCTTCTATTTTCCAGCTTTTTATTTGTTTTCACATATGCTACTTTACATGATCTCTCAGTATCTAAATTACATTCAGATTAGATCGGAATCATTAGAGTCTATATAATATATTTTTTAAAATAATAATTTTTGGCGAGACTCTAATTTATGGACGAGCCAATCAGGAGCGCTTGAGGGTTTTCAAGTCACAGCGCCAATTCCAGTACGTGATGCTCACATACAATCGGTTTACAGCGGATTTTATAGAAGACGTGATAATTGAGCGGATACAACAAATAGGATTACAAAGAAGTTCCTTTATTTGTGTCTGAGGCAATCAAATGAATTCTGTACTGTGTACAGACTGCCATAATGAAGTTGCCTTTCGATGTTGTTTATGTTGGAACAAGAAATGTGAAAGAACAGGAACTTTCGCCGCTCGATCGCGATTGAAACTAAAGAAAATCATGATAATTGTTGCGAATTGGATAATAAAAGCGCCAGTAACACTAGCTGCAACATTTGCAGATGTTACTGAAGCTTTGGATGTTCAGTGGTATGAGTATTGTAGAGGTATATATGCAACAAAAACGACAAGCTTACGCGAGTCTTTTGGAGGGAGTTGAGAGAATCGTTGAAATAGACGATACAATAGTCAGGAAACGAAAATGTAACAGAAACGTAGTATTAAAATAGACTGGGTAAGTAGCATTTCCATACATATACCTCAGAGGTCCTTGGAATTTACGACATATCATCTCAACAGAGACACTTCCAGCGGGTCAGAAACCGATAGGCAATGACAATAATACCAATTACACGGGAATATGTACAGCCAAGCACAACAATATATACAGAGGATTGGAGAACGTACAGGCGCCTTTATAGAATTGGTTATGTGCATCGTGTCGTTATACACAAGCGGCATTTTGTGGATCCAACAACCGGAGTGCACACAAACAATAATGAAGTTATGTGGTCGAGGCTGAAAGCTTTTTACTATACTATTATGGCTCGAGAAGCCAACTATTATGGAGCCATATGGATAAGTTCCTCTACTGTATCCATTACGATTTCAGAACTTCTGGACCTCTTTCTAACCTTGAAAAGTTTATAAATCATATAAAAGAAGTGTATCCACTTTAATTCTTTGGCTTTCTTTAGTATATATTTTACTCTATATTAACTGTTTTTTGATTGGCTAATAGTCTCGATACTATAATTGCAGACGAACCAATCAGAAACGTCTGATGGATTTCAATGTCACAGCGCCAAATTCACACCTGATGCTTACATCCATAAATTATAGTTTTTGCCTAAATTCTTTTTAATCAATTGAAATATCAGAAATTTACATTGAAGCCAAAGAAATTTTTTTAAAAAAATATTACACAAGGGTTCAATATACAAATTTATATTGAACAATGATCATTGAAGTTAGATGAACAGAATAGAAAGATCAAAATAGAGTTTTAAGATTAATAATAAAAGAAGATCAATTCATGAAAAGGAGCATATTTTAAATCATTTCATTATTATTATCATCATTATTATTATTATTCAGATCCTCCACTAATTTCAGATAGATTATCATTGATATCAACTCCATATGCTTGTAATTCTTCTTTATTTGGTTAATATATTTACCATTATAGAATGATTGAATTTTAACTTGTTTTAATGTTTTATTTAAACAATCCATAATATTTGTATGTGGCATATGAGTTTTTAAACCTAAATTATCATATGTTAATATAATGGATTTTTGTTTAGATTGTTGCTGTGGTTGCTGTCGTTGCTGTGGTCGCTGTTGTTGCTGTGGTTGCTGTCGTTGTTGTTGTTGTTGTTGTTCAATGAATAATTTTAATGGTTCTATACAACGTTGAATATATTCATGTGTACCACGTGGATCATGTAATTCATATGAATGTGGTGATTCCCAAAATCTCAATTGATTTTCTGTGATATTGATTTTATTTAATTTAATTTCATCTAATAACCATGTTATTGTATCTGGGGTAAACATTTCATTAAATGTTCGTTGAATTTTTTCTTTACGAATTAATTTCACTTTTTTTACTGTATTTGGATCAATAAAAACTTTAATTGCTTTCCATATACCATGAAAAAATGTACCATGATTAATTAATATAAATTTATATAAAGTTTCTGGATAACAATCAGCAAATGTTTGTACAAATTTCTTACCAATTTTTGGATTACAACAAGCAACCGTTAAACCTAATTGTGAATAAATGAGAAAAGACAAACAGACGAGAAATAAAACAATATTTTGTCAATATAATCAAAGAGGGATTGGGGGTAGTCTTGTGGAGATGATAGTTAGTTGAATAGTTGAATTCATGAGTGAATTGAAGTTAGATCGTTATGGAAATACTGGAAGTAGTGGACGGCTGTTTAGTTCTAGTATGAGATAGCACAATGGCAGTGTGCATCTTGCATGTGGGACTAGAATTCAAGGTGTTTGTTCTTGTACGCAAACCGTTAACCTATAAACCATTGTGTGACGACGGACCACGGGTGAACTTGAGGAAGCTGTAGGAGACTCAGAGTATGCCGACGATATTCCATCCAATTATCTTTTGGAAGAATACTCTAGAATTCCTACGTGTAGCTTCCGATTGGACAACGTTAACGACCCTCTGTATGCGGACTGGTGGACTGTAATGATGATTTCGTTCTTACTTAAACTATAAATACCTGACAATTTTGTACCATAATTGACACTGTCTGTGAGTAATATTCCATTCATTAGTCTCCTGTCTTCTCATTGCGACATCGGAGGGTTTTGGCGTTCTACTGCTCACGTAATACGCGGTATATCAACAACAACCTTTCAGATACAACACATTGAGATGGGTTCAGGTTTCGCGCGTAGGATCATGGATGCGCATTGCTGAGGAGTCCGGTACTAGGACGAAATAGCTGTAGAGTGCTTCTAAGTTTTCAATAGTGGTCTACCTGTGATCGACTTATGAATTCAACTATTATTATTATTAGCATCTCTACAAAATCTCCATTACGATTTTATTGATTCGCAAAATCACAAAATCATCTTCTGTCCCATACTAAGGCGAAATGGAGATGACAACAAACGAAGCATTATTAACTCTTTGAAAATGTGATAACATTAAACGGAATACCCTAAATTATAAACTGATTCTACACAAACTTGATAATCAGTTAATGACTATCACATCAAACTGATGAAAATTATATTGGAAGGGGATTTTGATGAGATTTTAGTTCTTTTTAATAGTCAAATGAAGCTAGATCATCATGGAAAATCTGGAAGCACTGGACGGCTGTTTCGTTCCAGTATGGCATACCTCAGTGGCAGTGCACATCCAAGAGGTATTTCTTGAAGTTCTAGTGAGAAACCATGAGCAGTAGAATTCAACCGGGTTTGTTGTGAGATAGTAACTGAATGATGACAATAATGGACGCTGGGGCAATTGGTGGATTATTTGAAGTCAGAAACTATCACTATTGGATGCCGACTCAATGATCTAGATGTTAAACGCTCGAGAGAGACCAACAGGTCCTGGGTTCGCATCTCACGAGGCGGGTTTTGAATGCACACTCCTGAGCAGTCCCATAATAGGATGGCATGGCCGTCCAGTGCTTCCGAGTTTTCAATAGTGGTCTAGCTTCAATTGACTCATGAATTACCAATAAATTACCAATATAATTTGAAATGAGAAAATAAATGTGATTGTGTAATAAGCAAACATGATGCTTGTTGTTTTAGTGATTATTTATTTATTAGTGAGTGATCTCAAGAGGCAAGTTCCGACGTTTCAGTGAGAGATCGTGTAGAGTGGAGTTCAGCTATGTCGAATGTAAGGGAACTGCTCATTGGTGTAGTAGAAGATGGTTACGCAATACGATAAGTTGAGTGAAGTTAGAAATGTAGGCCACTGGATGACAATTCAATGGTATAAACGTTCAGGATTTGCCATATGACTTAAAGATTCAGGTTTCATCTTAGGTGGGGGTAGCAAAGTTGCACTCCTGAGAAGTCCTGCACTTTGACAAAACAGTTGTCCAATAGCTTTTTAAACTATAAACTCGGGTCATTTAGATTCGAATTCTGCAGGAGTATCAGTTCCTTCAAGATTGTAGATATACCTTGTTCTTGAGCGTCAACTCGTACAAAATGTAGATCAAATAAGGACTTCTGTCTACTTTTCTCTGAAAACCCACAATGGTCATAATATATTACACTGCTGAACTAATCCACCATATAATAATACATTCTCAATTTAGATATGAAATTCAAGAATCACTATCAGATGCCACTTACCTAACAAACAACTTTGTAAAAAATACCACTATTGAATGCTTAGGACATTTAAGTGTAAGAAGGAGAAAAATCTGTTGTGATATCATTAATTCGTGATGATATTGTGTTGAACGAGAACACAATTAGGGACAATAGAATGTGTTTGAATATGAAATTACAGAACATCTTAGTAACATCCGAGAACTGTACAATAAAGACTTCGTTTGTAAAATGTCAATCAATCGTCTCAGACATCATTGTTCCTTCGTTTCCCAACCAATCATTCTCTATTCCCATTCATTTTTCTACTAACCTTCTGCCACCAGGCATTTAACTTTCGATTGATGATATATACTACTTATTTCCCTAGATATCAGTAGCACACATATGAATACTAAAGAAAACACTTGAAATATTTATTTATTTGTTTAAATAAAAATTGCACATATAAAGATGAGTTCTTCTGATGTTTGCTTAAAAGAACTTCTTAAGTAATTCTATACTCTTCAGAGCGTCTCATTGTATAGACTTTTGAGAACTAGTTATATTTGGAACAACAGAAATATAGATAGTGCAATGAGAAGACGTAGTTTATCAGAATTATGTGATATATTTGCGCAATACATTTCGAACAATCTGATCACACATTATGTACTTGTTAAGAACATTTATATATGAAAAATTAAAAGGTCAACTAGACAGGTTAAGGGTAAGTCATAACAAAAGAAAAAATATTAAAGTACACAAAAACAAATGTGATTACCACTCTGGACAGTAAATCAGTACTACCAGGGTAGGTTAAGTGTAAGTACAAATTGTTTTTGAACACATAAAGGGGGTTTCAATTATCTACAACTAGAGAAAGTAAGATGAAAACAGAGAGCACGGAACAACAAAGCAATAATTAACAAAATAAGTCAATCAGGTCTACCAAAATACATGTGTTATTTGACTCAGTAATATACTGTTGATCCTATTCAAATTAGCTAAATTTGCTGGGGACGGTGTTAACATAAAGTGACAGCAAGTAGGTGGTTTTACTTAGGGAATGCACTAATAAAAATGGCTAAACATTTAAAGTTCCTATAATATCACTTGTGGAATGAGATACACTTACAGGTGCTAGAACATTCAAAGCATTTTCAGAGGAGCAGTATGCATCGATGCAGTGAACAAATAATGGGAGTGATTTATCGTACGGATGGATTGTGGTAGGTTATTCCAGAGTCTAGAAAATTTACAGGTAAAGTAATTCATATAGAGAGATGATTTAGAATAAGTTTGTTTCACTAGTGCCAAGGAATTACGGATGTCATAATGAGAAGTTTCTGCATATTGAGTAAAGTGATTGGATGTAAAGGATAGTTTATTAAGTAGTTTGAAGAAAAAGATAAGATTTAGTTTGAGTCTTCTCCTCCGTAAAGGGTCTAGCCCAAGTTTATTACATCTAGAATTATAAGTTAAGGTACAATCAGCTCCAAGAATACGAAGTGTAAATCGTCTCTGTACTGATTCCAGCCTTAATTTATCTTTTATGCACGTGCAATATTCTAGAAGAGGTCGAGCACAAACTTTGTACATTAAAATACGTGACTCATTGTTATAAAGTTTTCGAGTTATTTAACCTATTAGACGTTGAGACTTAGAGGTCTGTTTTAATATCTGTTCTGTAAACGACAAGTCTTGAGAGTATTGAAGTTCTAAGTCTACTACTGAATGTAACCTAGATAACATTTCTCCATTTATGGTAAGGTCTAGGTTGAGTGATGTATCGCCGAAGCATATCCATTTGTGACCGTTTAATTTTAACTAATTGTACTAAAACTGATTGAAATTTGATATCTGTTTAGGTTTAGTAATGGTTTACTAGAAAACATTCCTTTATTCATTCGATATCTTATACAAACAAACCGATGGTGTAGCGATGGGAAGTCCGTTAGGTCCTGTCCTAGCAGATATTTTCATGACTAACCTCGAAAGAACCAAACTCAAACGAGCGATTGATGAAATGACGTATTATTCGAGGTATGTTGATGATACCTTCATCGTATGTAATAATAAACAACATGCAATAAATCTGCTAGAGTTTTTCAACGAAGCACATCCGAATATCCATTTCACTATGGAACATGAAAAAGAAAACAAGTTCCATTTTCTCGATATCGCGATGAAAAGAAGAAAAGATGGTACAGTTCAACGTTCAGTTTATAAGAAAGACACATGGAATGGTAGTTATCTTAATTTCAATAGCTTTTGTCCAATCAGTTACAAAAAGGCACTGGTCAAAACACTGTTTTACAGAACAGAAAGAATATGTACTTCCGATACACTAGAAGAGGAAGTTATGAATGTTAAAAAATGTTTAAAGAATAACGGATACCCACTGAAATTTATTGAGAAATACGGCAAATGTGAAGATAAAAAACCGAAAGAAATTACAGCAAATAAAAAGCCTATTTTTATTCAACTTCAATTCAAAGGTGACGATGTCACAGGATCAATCAATATGAGACTAAAAACTGCACTGACAAGAACTTATCCTGCAGCGAAATTGATTGTCCTGTCCAAAACAACATGTTCTTTGACACAATCAAAGGTCGACAGGTATCCCTTTCATGTTACCACCAACTGTGTATACAAATTTACATGTACCTGCCAAAGCAGTTACATTGGTAGAACAGAAAGGAGAGCCTACGTCCGATTCAAAGAACATATTCCGAAAAGTTTAAGGTTAAATGGATTGAACGCATTCAACAGTGCTATCGCAAGACATCTCCTTGATACAGGACATAAAGCTGATATACTGAAGTCCTTCAAGGTGATTAACAAACAATCAAACTCGAACCTTTTGAAATTCGCTGAAGCGTTAGCAATCAAACGTTTAAAACCAGATCTATGTATACAAAAAGAGACAGTAATAAATCTTTCTTTACCCTGGTAACAATAACCCCCACTGTTTCTATTCATTTGCTCCTATTTATTTATTTATTTATTTATTACGTCATTATTGCAACTCTTTCTGAAATATAAATTACATCATACATAACTGATTGATTTCAATTCATATTTTCTTTATTACCATTAATCTATTTTCATGAGTTCTAATCACTATTTCAATGTTCCAGAACTTTCCCTCTCTAACTTTATTTATTTATTCGAATCAAACATTTTATGAGCTCATTAACTCTATCTGAATCTTTGCTTGCTACATCATCATACACATGTATTGATCCTTCATCACACTCTTATGTATGAATATGCCAATATCTGTAATAATGTTGAATTTCAAATAATTTAGGTTGTAAGCAGCTGATGAGAACCTAACGAAATCAAATGAATTCATGTATTATTCTGCACCAATCTTTGTCCTTGCTCTATTTAAATAATTTGATTACGTTCTATAGCTTATTTGGGTGTTTTCAATATAGGAAAAGTCAAGTGTTTCATTTATTTAATCATCCCAAGTTTATTATACAATCACCTTAGAGTTTAAATATTTTAATACTTTCAAATGTAATCAGGCTAATCATTTATCCCTACCATTTTCTTTTTTGAAATAAATTTCATCAATCAAACGAAGACATCTTCCAAGAGAAGAAATAAGAATCTTAACAATGTATATTAAGTTCTGATAGAATAGGGAATTTTCTATATCATTTATGAAATACTGTAATGAATATCTCTTCAAACCACATCCAAATAGCAATAATTCGAAATATATATATATATACTTGACAAATCCTTTTTTAACTGTCACTATATTTCATTCATCTTCAGTGATGTGAATTCTTTATCAATTCGAATAACTACTTAATTCA